TTATTCCTAGCTGTCGAGAGAAAGCCAGAAATACGGAATTATTGAATTTTTGAGCCTGCGATATAATCGGAAATAACACCTTAGGTGTGAAAATAGACACCTCGCATACCATTTTCTGAAAGTTCATATATTCTTTTGAAAAATTTTAACATTTGATAGATCTTACTTTTTATAAGGTATTCTACTTCTAATATTATTTTAAATATAAAAATGTCAATAGTCAATGTAGAAATAGTCTTAAGGTGAAAAAGCAAAATCAGACACGCGAACGCCCAACTCAAGGCTGGAGCGCGACATTCATTATAACACAAATGGCCGTTTTCCCACTAGAGACAGATTATTCGTGTGAGACGGGTTATCCGTTTGTTGATTCGCTTCAGATGGGTAAAAGGTCTTAATATGAAAATGAAATAGTTTTAATTTTGAATGAACAATCCGCCTGACTTTATCCATCAATTTTGACGGACAGTTTGAAGATGGATTATCCATTTCAGAGAGCCTGTGTACAACCGCCCCCTTCCCTCCGAAAAAATCGGAGAAAGGGTGTCTGTGGGGAAGGGGGAGACTGTACACAGGCCAGTCTCAGACAGATAATCCATTTCAGCTCTAGTGTGAAAACCACCAATAACAAAATTTCTCTGTCCAGTGTTTTCAATGATAGCGAAAGATTGTACTGAACGACTGTCTGCCGTTGCCTTGTCCGTAGGCCTCATTATTCCACGCAGCTAATGCGTTTCGGGTCGCGTGGTCCGAGCGAGTTCGCTACCGAAATGCCTTGACTGCGTGGGAAGACACCGTACCGGAATAGGCATGGCAATGTCTACCGTAGCGTCGGAGAAAAACAAGGACTTGTTGTTTATCGGCACCGTGTTTTACAAACAGTGACATCTCTGCGTGTTGTTTCACTGTTGTTTAGACGGCACGACCTCCTGAAAATCGCAAATATTAATCCCCAACATGAAGCCACACTTTCGCTATGGAAAAAATCAAGTCCCTGAGAGAGTGGCAGAAATGGAGCCTTGGTCTAAGTCAACACCTAAAAGGCGCTTGGCCTAACGTGCGTAGGGAGTCACAGTAGCCATGACATAAAAAACGCAACCATAAGTGAGTTTAGCACCTTCCTTAAAATTAACAAATCTAGGGAACACCTCTCTTTTACGGTTAATTCTTTTTTACCTTATTTACGACTAACGACTCAAATTTTTGAATTTTTACGGCTATCGACTAAATGTTTGGCCGTTTTACGCCTTTCGGTTAACCCCACTGAGACACTCAAACTTGTATGTTTGAATTCGACTAAAACGAAAATATATTTCAGTCAAACCGTGATAGATTATTTAATAAAAACGTTATGAATGACTCAAATTACTTAAGTAGCGTCATTAATTTGGAAAAGTTAGCATAACGTCAAAACAGTGAATGTTCTAGCGCGGATTCTTACCAGTTCGTAGGATAGGTTTGTCTTGAAATTTCAAGGTGTTCCAGAGAATCAATCTTAATGAAAGTTTCAGACATAATATCATAGGTGACGAATTACTCCTTAATTCTGGCGCAAAATTTCAGCCTTAATTTCTAATTTCACATGTGAAATTACAAAATTGCCATGGCAACCATTCCGTACGTCTGAGAGTCAAGATGGCGACGAAGTTTTAGGAAGCCGTGAATGAAGATGTCAAGGGCACAAAAAGACGCTTTAGAAAACCTGAACACACAAGAGAACATCAAGAAGGATTCTAACAGGTATCTTGCCGAAAAAGTCTGAAAAATTCTAAACTTTATAAGCCAAATTTAAGGTCTAAACCATTTGAGAGAGTGGAGTTCTCGATCGATACGATCCAGGATAAACATGTCAAAAATCCAAGATTGCTAACGTAATTCGTCACCCATGATAATATATAGAATTAGCCAGGGCTAAAAGCGAAGCTCTCGATAATATTTATAGTTTGTTCAAACAAAATATAAAATCGTGTAATGCTAAGCGGTGAAGGCAACGTCGGAGAACGGTGAACAACATCAATAGGTCGAATTAGCAGAAAAGCAACTTTGCACGTGCAGCACACTTTTTTTGTACATTTCTTTGGCGTTGTTTTGCACGACTACAACGTAAAACGTCCAGAAACGTCTTAGTTACACGTTTTATGGAGGAAATGTTGTACGTTTTTTCGTTCACTTTTTTTTCACTGCCGCTCATTTTCACCTTGCGTTGGTGGCCGCTAGTAGTTCTCATGTTGTCACCGCCGTTACAAAATGTTCATGTTGTTCTTCCGACAAAAAAATGTCTCCTTTGTTTTTTATCTCTCGCTCTAGATCTCTGTCCCTTTTTCTCGTTGAGCTTCGCTGGCCTGCTGCCTACTTTCTCTTTTTCTCTGTGGCTCTTGCTCTATATTCCAAATTTGTGGACATGACAATTAATCTAAGCTTAATACTTTAGACGACATGCATTTTCGCTTTCCATTTTCGTCTTCATTGACTCTTTAGTTGTCTCTATTTTACAAGACGCGGGTGGCTATGCGATTTCTCGTCAAAATAACCTCGAGTTGCATTTGGGTTGCCATACCACCTGTTGAATGAGTCATTTTACATTGGTATGCCTGTGGTACGGACGGACGGTCGGCGTACGGTCACGTGATTACCAAATTTTCTCGGATGGGTAGTTACCACATTTTCGTACCCATGGTGCTCCGCTGCGCGCGCTTCGCGCGTGAGAGCTCCGCTATTAATAGGTAATCAAATGGTATACTCGTGAAATTAGGGAATAATTTCAGTTGCGTTGAATGAGTCATTTTACATTGGTATGCCTGTGGTACGGACAGACGGTCGGCGTACGGTCACGTGATTACCAAATTTTCTCGGATGGGTAGTTACCACATTTTCGTACCCATGGTGCTCCGCTGCGCGCGCTTCGCGCGTGAGAGCTCCGCTATTAATAGGTAATCAAATGGTATACTCGTGAAATTAGGGAATAATTTCAGTTGCGTTTTGTCCAAATCCTAATAATTTCCCCCGCCTGAAGGCTCGGGAAATTATTAGGATTTGGACAAAACGCGCGTGAAATTATTCCCTAATTTTGATTACACATACTTATTACATACATTATGAAGATTATCTGAAGAGATTCTAGAAAAATTCGTTCGGGTCGTTTCAGAGATATACAAAAAAGCGCTAAAAGTCCAAATTTTGAATGAAGTTGCACTAACGCAGGTGGTGAGAAAACGGGTTAGTTTTTAAGATCGCAAGAACGAAAATATACCAAAATTTCCTAGCATCGAAATACGATATTAAGCAGCATTATGGTACTACTTAAGAATAATTTGAGTCACTTATAACGTTTTTATTAAATACTCTTTCACGGCAATTGAAAATTTAGGTTTGAAATATATTTTCGTTTTAATTTAGCCGAATTCAAACATACAGAATTTTTTACTTCTTACGGAGGTTATTTGCTAAACACCAAACTTTAAGTTCCTAGTGCTGGAGTTTCAGTAGCTGGCAGTCTAGATCGCGCAAAATTAGGGGTTAACAGTTTCAAAGCTTTTTGTTTATTGTTGTCATAGCAATATCGATTTTACTAAAACCTACCTTTTGACAAATTTCAATCTATAGTCAATTATTGGTGAAAATGTTATAGCGATCAGACAGGGATAAAATCACTTTTAAAGCGATTGAAAAATATCGGTACGACCTCTGAAAAACTATATCGAAACACCTTAAGAGCCAATATGGATCCCCCCAATATCATTTCTGTTTTTTCTGCAAGCGCCACACAACACGATGACAACAGCAAAACAACCACAGCAACAACTACCGCGAAGGATTAGCAGCAAGCAACAATTTATAAGCAATTAAAGCTAATTAAAGGCAAATCCAAACTTAAAAACAATCAATTTTTCAAAAAGCAATAACAACAACAACGTTAAAGCACTATAAGTAAACAGGGAAATAAACCATGACACAAGAAATCAAGTCAAACTAGAAATACGTTATCGCGGCAAAAACCTCGCAAGGGTGTAAGAAGTCAGAAGTAAAAATGAAAGAAAAAAGGCCAAAAGGAAAAATATTATTAAAAAACAGAGACTAAACAGAAAAAAAACGGTACAAAGAAACAAAAAACAGCGCCACCGGGAGTCGAACATGGTTCATCTGCATGTGCAAGCAACTCCCTGACCACTGCGCCACAGTGCCACACATGTTTTGATTATTACTTAAGTTTGTTATATCAAAGCCATTTTTCTCTGCCATAGACGTTGTTTGAAGCTGGTGGAGCTGTCTTTATCATGAATTCAAATATACATTTGAGGAACTGATTAACTTAAGCGCCTATTTCAAAGCTATTTCGCCTTTTTGCGGGTTCAACGGGCCGGTCGATATAGATAATCAATCAAACTAGCTTTACTGAATTTGGTGGAGAATTAGGAAATCAACAGAGGCGCACACTCGAAAGGATTGATATGAAGTTAGGACCGTTTAATTAGCGAAAGAATAGATGAAATTTAAACATGTGTGATCTGTCAATGGAACCTCCTATTCTGGAGACTAGAATGTATTTATAATATGGACTGTGACGCAAGTTACACCTCTTATGAGATGTTTAGAACTTTGTGTAAAACATCATAAACATGTTTATCTCTAGCAGCTTGGATGTTGATTAAATCAGTTAAGTTTGTTTTGCTCCGCAAACAACAGTTTCTGACCTGTGAATCATTAAGTTGACCTTCAGTTTTGTTAGTACAGCAGTCTTCTGTTTTAAACTGGAGACTAGATGAATGTAACAATGAAGACAAGTTTAAAAAGTCAGTTGACATTTTGTTGTTATCAAAGGGATGGTGGCTATTACGTGTCACTTTTTGAAAAATACTTGAGGATTTTAAATCAGTGTATTTGATGCAACAACTGAGCAGGTGGCTGTCAGTTATATTTTCCTCATTTTTACTAATTTCCCGCTCAGATGCCACGTGAGAAGCTGTGGACTTTGTTTGATTGTTTTCACCCTCATCAGCAAGTTTGTGATCCATCCAAGGTCTCCACACGCCTCCATGCAGAGCAGGATCAGCCCGCGGGTCTCTGGCGGGATACCAAACAGGTTTTGATTTGTCTTGATACTCAACGATCCTTTTGAGCAGTTTTCGTACTGTTTGAAGGTTATTTTCTGCAATATTGTGGTATTCGCATGGATCTGTTGTTAAATGAAATCAAACTCAAAGTGGTAAAAACTTTAAGTAGCCCCTGATTTCCAAGTGCAAAACCTTTTCCTGGTTTTTACTGAAAAAGAGAGAAGAAATCTTCGTGCCTAGGCTCATGTTAAAACATGGGTCTGTGGCAACTGTGAAATAGCCTAATGAATTGGTAGTTTCTTCTTGACTTGAGGTTTTATTACTTCGCATAGGCTTGATTTTCCTTTGTCCCACAAAACCGTTTTTTAGTGAACAAACATCATATAATGACATCTCAAAATTAACTCGGACTTCAGCATACAAGGACGCCACTGGTAGACTCTATCAGTCCACAAACGAGCTTTTTGAATATCACCCAGCCCATGACATGAATTATGCGTGAAAGATAGACCACAACACAGGGGAAAAATCCCTTACTGTGTACTCTTGTAACAGTGGTGTGGGTTGAAAGGAGGATGGAGGAGACAAGGCAAATGGCTTAACGTCCTCGCCCAATGACGCGATTGTCTGAACTACAACAAGATCTTAAATCACAGCCACATTTCGGAAAGACACTGTATGGTGGACCGGTCGGGTTCTTAACCTACATCTTGCTCGGCAGACTAGTGCTCTTCCATTTGAGTTAACCGGGAGGAGGTCATAGAATTGTTGTAAATAAACCATTAACGACTTTTTACTTACCTTTACTTATGTCAAATAAGCAGGGAGATACATCAGAATTACAGTCGGTTTTTTTATTTATCCCGCAGTCAATAATTGCACCAGGCAAAGTACTGGGTTGGCGTGGCAACTCACCCGTGACTTCATATCTGGGATGCCACGTGGTTTTGAACACCGCATCTTGTTTGACAACTAACTTGTATTGGTTAACACGAATGGCTGCAAATTTGCGAATGGGATCCACGTTGTGGAGAATCTGCAATGGTAAATCATCCTACTGACTATGGATATATCCACCACAAGTCGCGTTTTAGTTCTTAGAATTTCACTCAGTTTGAAACGACAGAAAAGTACCACGTTTCGCTGACCCGTTTTCCTTTGAAAAACAAGGGATAGACGTTTTCATGTTTCCGTAAGTTGTTACTGAAGTAAAACCCGAAAACAACGAAGTGCTATAAGCGAACATAAAAAGGCGTTCGTTCTAAAGAGAGTTGAGTTATTACTTTACTGTGTAATATTGGACACATCATCCTTACTATAACTGTCAAAGACAGTGTTATTTCAAATACGACCAGCAGCTACGTCAGGGCTAACCGTTGCTAACCCGTTTCTTATCAACTTCAAGACTTGAAGAAATTCTCCTCGCAACAATCAGGATTTATTGCGTAGGGGTTTGTTATAACATGCTTCAATCTATACTGCTTTCCCGTTTTCAGTCGAGTCTCTTGTCTCTTTATCGCATGTCATCCGAGCATTATAAAACCAGGAGTAGGAACCATTCAGTCATTTTACATTGTATCTGATGTTCTTGCCTAGCTGTGCGTTCCCTTTTGCATAAGAAATTAACTGTTAATCATAACGACCACGTCCCACAGCAAACTTGTCCAAGATGGTTGTGTGAAAGAAGAAAACTAATTCTAACACAAAAGGCTGGTAAGATACAGGGATTTTCGTATGACCTTGAAATGAAACGCACGAGCAAAACAGAAACAACTCGACGAACAGAAATAGAACGATTTGATTGGTTTATCGAACGCGTGGCTTTTGGTTGGTTAAGCAAACGCTCGGGTAAAAGAAATTCATGCTCGACAACTTTCTAGAAACCAATCGATACTTTGCTTTGATGTCATACTGCAACACGATTGGCCAATCGAACAATGCCTTCTACATATTAGGGTTTTCTCTGGTGGGAAAACGAATAATCCATGTTTGAATCTTTTCATCCGTTGGCTAATAAACAAAATAACGACACTCTTACCGAAACCATTTTTCAGGGTCATACGAAAATCGCTCTTGAAGTTTGTTAGTCTTTGAATTTTGATTGATAGTACGTATTACTGTATTTAGTGTAAAATCACAAGGTTCAAGTGTATTTATACAGTACCGTGATTTAACTGCTGATGGAGGCAGATAACAATATAACCCAGGAGTAACATTACTTTGTAGCTCCTTTTTGTTTCTGATAAATACTTTCACGATCTATCTCATCCTCCTATTTTTTTTATATTCATATTATACATGTGTGTGTGTGACGGAGAAAATTTACCTCGCTTCGCGGTGACGGTGTACCGTGTGCAATAGTGTCCCACACATTCATCCCATCAATATTATTGCCAATAAGAGTTTGCACGTCTCCTCCAGCGAGATGATAAAAGGTTGGTAGCCAGTCTGTGACGTCGATTAAGTCATAACTCACTCGGGGTTTGTTTGTAATCAAACTGCTGTAAACAAACCCAACTCCACGGACCCCTCCCTCCCATAAGTTGTCCTTGCCTCCCTTGAAGGGATAGTTGCAGCTTTCACTCCTTTGAGGCAAAAAAAACAATAATATACGTCAAAAACGCAACGTAATACAATGCGATGCATTTTCATTATCAATTTTCAATATTACATATTGATAATGAAAATTCAGTATAGTTCAGTGACAATGCATAGCAGATTTCGTAGATTATGCAATTCAACGGAATGTATTCCAAACGTATTCCTAATTTGTATTTGAGTTTTAGTTGCTAGCAAATAAAGATTTTGTTTCCCCGTTTCCTTTATTTAATGTGTTTGAATTTTGGGGATCGTTTGCAGGCTCGAACATGTCGAAGGCTTGAGGTTCCCTTAAATGAACTTTGAAACTGATCGTACAATGGTTTAAGACCCCATGTGAATCACAAGTCAGAAAGAAAAAATGCGTTCTCGCGATAATCACGAGTGGCTTTGTGTGGGTGGGTTAATGGAGGCCGTGGGAGGGGATTAATGGCTCTGAAAACGAACCAAACCCTCACGGGAATTTGCCAAACATTTGTCAAGTCGTTGTTCCCATCATGGTGGGGCAGGCGCGGCATTACAGGCCTACCCAGGGGTGGGGAAGTTTTCACTACTGAATTTCATATTTTTTACGACTTTAACAAGGCAAATCTAACTATAGCAGTTCCATGCTTTTTTAAGACGTACTTAAATTCTCTTTCCAAAATCAGCACTCAATTGCAAGTGATTTCAGTAGTGACATTTTTAAAACTTCATATATTCACTGCGTAGTCGTTATTTTCACCTTTTTAAGCAAGCATTTTTTTATGTCTTGAGGGCTATATAGTAGGTGTTGTATAACTTTGCTGGCCTCACCATGGGACTTGTGTAGCTTTCAGATGAACTAATTACAAATTCTCAGGGTGGTGGGCACATTTGGAAATAAGGGAGCCCTTAAAACCACCCTTTTCATTGTACTCTCTACCTTCGGTCCACAATCTTCCCCTGTTGTCAACTTCACACACGCATGTACTTGCCTGTGCCGCAAGCTCATGAGCCACTCTCGGCTATCAGCATAAAAATACGTTGTATTTGCAAGGTGGTTGTAAATCAGTGCACTAACCAATCAAATCCTGCAGGAGCACCCCCATTGTCTGTAGTAAACACGATCACAGAGTTGCTAAACATTCCAGCTTCTTTAAGAGCTTTCGTAATGTTTCCAACAGACTCGTCTAGTGAAGCAACCATGGCCGCATAAATTCCTCTATCTTTTGATTTGAAATAAGAAAATTTCTACCAGAAAGAGAAGAAGTATAGTAGGCACCGAATTAACCTTTTTTCGGTTGAATCTAATTAACTCACGGAGGAATACATTAACGCCAATGACGTTATAGCCTTTTGCCTTTACGCATACATTGCGATGCGTTTAGGCCTTCCTTCCACACCAATACGCTGAACCTGTTCATCCAAAACGCATCGATTTGAAAACCCTCTTGAAAGTGGATCAAAACGAAAACGCGTATTAAAACTTATCAACAACTCCGTTTGGTCACGATTTAATTTGAGCATGTTAACAGAAATCCATGAATCAATATCTTGAATACGACTATCACTTGTCCCTTTGGCAAGAAGAGCGTTTTCAATAGTTTAAGTAAAAACAATAATAATAATAATAATAATTATATACACTTACATAGCGCCTTTCTCTTAGTGATCCAAAGAGCTTTACAATCAGTAAATACTTAGAAAAACAAATATTAAAGTACAACATAACAGGATTTCAAACCCCAACTGGCAGGAGGCAACCAGTTGGTTATTTACAAGCGTGGCCGAGGATTTGAACTCGAGACGACCGAGAACAAATCTAGCAAGTGGCCGGGGCCGGTTTCTCGAAAGTCCCGGTAACTTTTCGGGCCCGAAATCAAATATTCTAATCGAAATACAAAGAATAAGGGCACAGATCATGGGCAGCAAACTTCTCCATTTTGTTTCAATAACTGATAGTTTTATCATGTTGATACAAAACTGTTGAAACCTCTATCTTGCATGTAAACAACAACAGGTTTACGGGCCCGTTAATTATCAGTGCTTTCGAGAAACGGAACCTAGAGCGGCACTCGAACCCGGGACCGCCGTATTGCGAGACCGACGCGTTGAGCGCTCGACCACGCTGCCTCCCGGGAAGGAGTCATGTAAATCTGACTATTATCTGCGCAACTGCGAAAACTATTGCCATTATGTTTATGAATAATATCAGATAGGGGAGAGGTGTAGAGAAGAAAATGCAATGAACCCAGCACAGATCCCTGGACAACTCCATGATGAAGATAACGCATTGACGATTGGTTGCCTTCAATTTTAACAAATTGCCTTCGCGCATCGCAGATAGATAAGACGTGAACCAGGCTAAAACTTTGTCACCAAAGCCAAATCAAGTTTTCAAACGAGAGAGAATGATAAAGTGGTCAGCTGCCCATGTCAAAAGCCGCTAAGAGGTCTAATAGTGTGAAGATGACCGTTTCCTTTTTGTCCAACGCACAGATGATATCATTTCAATCAGTACTGTGATATTTTTTTAGAGCCGATTGAAATGGCTCATGCAAGTAGTTTTGATTAAGGTTGTCATTAACCTCAGCTACTACAATTTTTTCATTCGCTTCAAATTTTAAATTTCATTTAAAAGCAAACTAGCTCCTTCAAGCACCAATCTGAAAACACCATTTTTTATTTCCTATATTCCCCTTCCTTCTCCTGAACAATTCAGTTATTTCGCTCCTGCAATAAATTTTACTTTCCCTTCATCACCACTGCCATATTTTTATTGTTTTGCCTCCACTATGATTCAAGTGTCACTTATATTAGAACACTATGAATAGCACTTATAACTCACAAAAAGATCTAACTTTTACTTACATCCACAAGTCTCTTCGGTGCTTGTAACGGATCTTGTAAATTACCAGAGTGCACCGCTTGGTGAGCAATATAGAGAAACAGTGGTGTTGATAACTTGTGGCCAGCTATTATGTTCTGTGCAACTTCTGTAAATAACTCTGTATTGTAGTGACCTGACTTTTCTCTCACTGGCTGATGAGATAAAGTAGCACGAACAGGCTCAGCTCAATCAAAAACAATGCAATGACAAAAAGTTGCTCAATTTATTTGCTGCGGCTGTGCTTAGCAAGAAACTTGTAGCTGTGTACATCATGATTCAGGGAAACCACAGCGAACTAACAAAAACTGAGCACCAAGAGGTTAAAAAATCCAAACAGGTAAGAGAACGATTAGCTACAACCCTGGTCAAAACTCTTAGGACACTAACGCAATAGCTCGTCAAATTGAGGCATCCTCCTTCCCCCCTTCCAACTCGGTGCAGTGTCGACGTTATGTAGTCAAGCTGTAATTCAACACAATCAACACTGTTTGGGGAAGAGGGAGACAGCAGAAATAGCCCCTTATAACAACATCTCCAAGCTTTTTTAAGAGGTAGAATATGAGTTAATTTAAGCAAAGTGCGTCTTTGTGCCTAATTTCCTCAAGTGTTCCAAGACGATTTCACCAGGGTTGTAGCTGTATAAGCAAGTTACTGCTTGGTTTAAAATCCGGCTAGGATATTTCTTGATAGTCTCACGCGCAGCAGTGAACGAGTTGCATGTGGGATGAATACCTCCATGTTACTTGTCAGGTCCAACCCCCAAAAGTCTTCGTATGACTGATGACTCCAGTAATCAGTTTTTCCTGTCATGAAGCCATAGAATGAATCAAATCCTCGCTGCGTGGGAGTATAGGCTTCTTTAAAGAAACCTAAATGCCACTAAGACATTGAAATACAAAGAAAAGATATAAATACAACGTCCACTCGATGCCGTGAGCTGATTACACTCCCTCGGTTTGGGGTCTGCCTCATAAGGAATTGTCGTAATTTGGCACAGTCGAACCTCTTCCAGCAACCACCTCCCTATAACAGCCATCTCTTCACCATGGGCAGTTTTCTTCATCACAGTGGATACATTCAGGCTACCATCACAGGCTAGTGGACAAATTTTCGACCTGCTGAACATTTCGTTCACACGAAACCGTTCAATATTTTTGCTCTGTTTGCACAGAACTGACAAACCAAGTTGAATTTTAACTTTTTTGAGTTGTTTTACCATCTGCCTATGAACAGAACGCGACTTAAAGAAACCAAAAATAACGTCTCCCAGCTGAGTTACTATGCATCCGTGCAACCACGCCGTTGCCGCACTAAAATTTAGACGGTGAAAGTGTTTACACACTAGCCTGAATTTCAGCCGTCTCCTCGAGTCGGCACGTCTTTCTCGGGAGAGAGAAAGACGAGATTCGAGGAGACAACTCAAATTCATGTTTAAATTTATGTTCACACTGCATTAATAAAATTTTTTACCGTACTGGCAAAAAAAATTCATACTCAAGAACGGCTAGGCTTCTAAATAAACGCACGAATATCCAACCCTTTGAAAATACGTTGGGTACCCCGTGTGAATGTAGCCTCAGGCCTAGGCATAAAGTCGAACTTTTCATGAGACAAGCCAAACTTAACAAGTTATTTTCATGAAAAGTTCCACATCTGGCTCAGTTAGTTCGTCTGAATGAGTTTGGATTATTCAGCACGTACTCAAGATCTGTGTGCTTCAGACGGATAGAACGTCTGAAGATCGCCTCTGGGACAAACGTCGATCGTCACATGCGACGATCTAAACTAATAAATTACAAAATTTCTATGATAATGTATATTTAGCCTCGTTCGGGAGAAAATGTATTAAAATTCCTTGCGACGCGTCCTAGGTTCGATGTCTGACTCAACAAACGATCTGAACTCAATTTAGGTCGACTCAAATCAGAGTTTGGTGAGTATTATGAAAACTCTGACGTTTGGCCTAGGCCTCACTCTTATAACGGCCAATTACCTGTGTCCAAAGGGTGGCCGTCTTGAAGAGGTTCGCCTCGACTTGAAGTTGATCAGTCAAGTATACGCTTGAAAAATAGGAGCCAATTTTCGCGGTAAAGTTTTAACAGGCTCACTTATACGAGTTTGGGGAAAATGTTGGCGCTGGCGGCTCCGCCACGAAAATTTTTTCCGAATTCACACAAGTGAGCCTGCTCACAGGCTAGTTTTAAACTTGCTGTTAAGAACCACAAGAAAGCTGCAAGGAATCCGAAATACTTAGTTAACACTTTAAAAAAAGCGCAAACTTGAAATAAAAGAAAATGAGATTGACCCGATTGTTATTGTAATCAATGCGTTTAGCCATTCAAGTTTTCTTTCGCAGTATAATAAAGATTTTATCCACAAGTTGAGTTTTGTTGTCCGTTTGAGAGGTATATTAACAAATCGTTCAAAATTGACTGAACCAATAATCAGGACTTGAGGCGCTTTCCATTTGTCTGTGCTGGCCGGCTGGACCATGGCCGGACTGGTCAGTTTGAAAATGAAATAGGGTTTTACCGAGAGTTTTTGCTATAAAAAAAACATCGCCTTCATGCATACTATTTAGGATTTTTAAAACTGATCTGGCTGGATCATTGTGACGGGAATAGTCTGGCCGGTCAGTTCTGACAAATGGAAAGTGCCCTTAGATGAGTTATGAAAACGCCGCCTGTTTTCAGAACTAATTAAAGGGACACTACCCAGATCTGGGTAGTGACGCGTCATCAGTATGGAATTTCTGAGCTCGTTTCTCAGACGTCATTTGGCGGGGAAACCAGTAATAGCGTCGCCAAATGTCTCAGGCTATGTTAATTTAGGCCGTATCCAAGTTTAAATCACTTTTAAAGGAATGAATAAATTGGTTTTACTTCAGTACGATAGTTCAGACTTCTTTGTTGATCTTTGCGTGGAGATAAATTATGAGCAGGATATCTGTATCGGTACTACAATGGCTTGCTCTCGGCTCGCCACTGTCAGTAATGCCCATACAGATCGCACGCCATTATTTTATCCAGTACATACTTTTTACTAACGATTACATTGTTCAAAACAAATCTCTAGGTTCGGTCCATATCTCTTGGAATTCCCCTACATCTCTTGGAATTCTAAACTTAAAAGTCATGAAAGTTTAGCTCTATGCCCTCATGTTTCACATGTTAATGTACCCTTATCACTGTAAGATATATTCTCTTTTGACGTGTATGGTTTTTATCTAAATACCTTGCCCACTCCATGTGTACTGTAACCAAGTGACTTAAGGTATTGTGGTGTCGTGGTTTCACCCAAAGGAAGCCCGTAAGGCTGGGTGCCGTATATGGTGCCATGTTGAATCCCTGCGTAATAAAACGTTATATGTATGTTGTGACTGAGTTTAACTGAAAATTCTTGGCAATCATTTTAGGTTTTCTTTATATATTATACATTGCTTCTTATCACATCCGTTAGCGAGCACCAGTTATCTCAAAATCCTCAACTAAAGAATCTACTCGTCAGGCTGGGTTCAGTTGGTTGGGTACCAGACTTTGTAGCGGTAGCCGACTTTATTCCCGGCAGGAACAACACTTGCGTTCTTGAGATAACTGAGAAGGGTACATAAAAGTGTTTACTCTTTTTTCCAATCGCCATTATCACTGGCTGAATCAGAATCATTCTTGTATACTCCAACAGTCGTGAAACAATACGAGAGAGACGATCATGATAACCTGGTCATTGTGCTCGTCACAATGAAGGAACTGCTTCAGAAATAATCTTTGGAGAACCGCAACATGATCACCCAGACCAAGGTAGACCGAGAACTACGTAATCGAGGTGACGCTGGACTGAAGAGTAAAGAAATAAGAAATGCCATGCTTGGTCAGGCCTTGCGGAAAGATTTTGTCAGGTGGGTTTTAGATAAAGTAAGTAATTAAGTGAGTGAGTGAGTGAGTAAGTAAATAATTATGATTATAACAAAAGCAAGAATATTTAAGACTTACCTAGTTTCGTGGGGTGTTTACCCGTCATAATAGAGGCACGGGTTGGAGTACAGATCGGTGATACGTAATAACTGTTAAGAATGACGCCATTGTTTGCTAATTCATCGATACTTGGAGTGGGAATCTGAGAAGAACCGTGAAAACTGACGTCGTCCCATCCCTGGAAGAAGCAGTTCAAAGGAATTATTCCAGCTGCTTTAACCACAAAATTTTCATATATTTATTGCCTCTGTTACACCCTCTCGTTGATATATTAGTGGTCTTTTCTGTTAATATCAATTACTTTCAGGCGTCATATTGGAGAAAAAAATCAGTTTTACAAATGCTTTCTCGATTGACAGGAACGTGAAAGAATAATAAACAGGTGGAAAAGGTTTATTGCTCCATTCCATCCCCATAACTTGTTTATTGTGTATGCGCAAATGGCAAGTTAACAAGATTTCACCATATTCACATTACCCATAATACACCTTGTTTGCTCCCAGTTTTTGCGCAAGCATTTTCGTCAATTTTTAATGCCCAGAAGAAATGGGAAACAACTGATATGCAAAATTTGGGGGGTTAAGAAGGTGCATTATAAACAATGTGAAAATGGTGCGTACAAAATGCCATTCACTTTCAGGGAGGCGCGATCCTTTTGGCCAGCGCCATAGAGGACGAGAAAAAAAAGATACAATTGCAGTTGGCATAGATGCTACTGTTGCATCTTATAAAATAGAGATGAAAGCAATTTTGATGCCGGGGTTTCTAAGTTTGAAAGGTTTCTCACCAGGTCATCCGCGACAATCATAATAATGTGGGGTCTGGGTGCTGCCGTAGTCCTTTCTGCGTCACACAACAAACACACCAAAAAACCAAGCACCCAATAGCCCTTTCAAGAAAAAAGTAAAGTTATGTATCATGCACGTATCTACTTAGAGGCACAACGGTTCAGCAAGCGTAGAGCAGAGAAGTAATTTAAGCTAAGCACTGACTAGTTCTTTGAGAGTCGTTAATTCCATCTGGGTCGTTAATTTGTATTCAAGGTCGTGAATGATAAATAATAAACTTTCTTATCCTACATTCCCTGTAATAAGAGGTCGAGAAACCTAGAAAGACCTAGGAAATGTTTTATGGCCCGTTCTTGAGTGACCTTGGGTGTTAATTATATTACTAGAATACAGCTATTTCAAAAAACGTTGTCAAAAAACAAAACAAAAAGCCTTCAAGCTAACACCGCAAGTTAATCTGGGATTTTTATGACGACTTTTATAATTACCATATAGCAAAGAGGAATCCCGGCTGAGCAGGTCGGCTCGGTTGTCATGTAATCAGAAAGCTATTTTGGTTGCGTTTAACTAAGCTGCCAAGATCGATTGACTCATCCAATTTTGTCAGGCTAGCCCAGCTCGTGTGAAATTACGGTACGTTCATCTGGCAAAACAGCAACAATTCTGCAAGTCGTGCATAAGGGTTTTTTTGTACTTTCACACCGTAGCACGAGTACGTGACTATGATTTCTTTTTCTTTTTCTGAAGTAAGCTAGAGTCCTTTAGAATTCATTTCCAGACAAATATGCGTTTATCGGAAAAAGGTTTGAAAAGAGGTCCATACATCCTCCCATAAAATTTTTAATATTGGAAGTAGTGCTCGAACATCCTTAGAAAACGCTGGAAAAAAATAGCCCACGACGTGCTGGTGCAACACCATGCCCGTATACTTTGGCAAGCTTCTTGAGTAGAAACTTTTTAATCGGAGAAAGGTTTCTAATATTGAATTTTTTTCTGTCCACTTCGTTGCCACGTTATGACCCCATTATGAAAATTGATAAAATTTAACAGTATCCTCTTTTCCTTGCTAATAGCTGAAAAAATGCTACCGGAGTCAAACAAACTGTTAGTTCCAATGAACCCTAACGTTTGCTGTATATGCAGGCGGTGAGACTTGAACTGGAGCTGTTGGCTAGACCAAGTCTGGTTTTGTAGTTTGATCAGTGCTTGTAAGGTATCCTTCAAATTCCAGACACAGCAGTGTCTTTTTACATGGTTATTGTGAGCAACAATGGATAAGCAACTGGAGCTGGTGGATCAAATTCATCTTCCTTTTCAGTTTCGTCTTTAGATGGATATTCGTCATCAGTCACCGGCGGCGAATCATCTATGTCTGAGTCTAGCAGATGAGCGGCTACTGTATTGCCTAGGTCGTCTGTCATAGTAGAAAGAATTGGCTGCTGAATGTTTGGTTCATCATATTTTTGATCCCAGTCATCTGAAGTAATCGTACGACTCGGTTCCGGATTCATAATCGTACCAGTGACCCCACTCTTCAAAGAACTCGTAATCGTCAGAGTCATGTGTACACTGCTCATGGTGATTTTTAAAATAATTGTAAGTCTTGATTTCGGGTTTGAATCACCACAGTGATAATCCTAATCGACAGAGTCATAATTGTAAGAGACATATGAAGGCAACTCATGATGACTGGCAGCGACTGCCGTACCCAGGTAAACTACCGATAGACAACCACTATCATTAAGAGCAGCAACTCGACTGTGAAGTTGTGAGGGCGGCAAGGTTAGCATGCGTGGTTAAGGTCCACTCACGTTTCGCCTATGGTTATCTCTTAAAGACGGTTGGTACCTAGGCATTTGTTGTCGTTCACGGTTGTTCCGTGGTGGACAGCTATTCTGGTAATGGCCAGGCAACAACAATAACAGCAAACCTTTATTTGCATGACTATAAGTAATTACGTATTGCAAAAGGATAGGGACTAAAAAAAATACATAAATCTGGCTTCAAGAGTTTTCCTACATTAAAACTTTAGAACTCGCGAGTTGTTTTGAATACCCAAATAAGCGCCACGGTGCATATTCGAGAGCGGCGCTTTTTTCGGGTTGTGGCGCTTAATCGATCATTTACGGTAAGCTCAGCAATTTTCTGTTGGTGATCCACTTGTGACTCTGAATAAGCAGAACTTCTATCAGTCTTCGTAACCGTAAGCGTGAGTGAATTTACTTGTTGGGTTAATAGGGAGCTTAAGCAACTACGACGACGATGATGACGACAACTTGAAAAACAACATCTTTAATGGTCAAAACAACAGCTCTGCACGTGCATCACGCTTTTTAA